TCTCTATTACTTCCGTAGTTACACTGATTTGCGGATCGTTGCTAGGACTGGTGACTATGTCCGGCCATAACTTTTTCCAAGACGATGTAATAGTTGACGAAGGTAATGCATTCCACGATTGACAAAGAGCAAAAACCAAGTCTTTCATATTGAATTCTTTTAAAGTTTTTTCATTGGCTGATCTTTTGATACAGCTTTCAGAAGTAGATTTTTCTTATAATCTTGCTTANTAGATTTTTTTTATAATTTTGCTTGACAAACTGAATGATATGCTGATCCATTGGTTGAATCAGTGCAGTGCAGTTTGGTGGAAGAAACATCGCAGTGATGCATTTATCCTCAGTTGTCAGTTCTTCTTCAGACGGATGACCGGGAGCGTTATCAATAAGCAATAACGCTTTTTGAGGAAAATTATGATTTTTCAAGCATTTTCAACCACTTCTTGAAAAGGTCTTTTGTCATCCACGCACTTTTTTGACCATAATAATGTACAGGCAAATCAATGTTTTTGAATGCACGTGGTTTATTCGATTTTCCAACGACTATCATTTTTAGCACGTGTGTACCCGCAGCANCATTTTTAGCGCGTGTGTACCCGCAGCATTTGCACATGGTAGTATGGTTACACGCTCTTTACTTACTTTTCGCCCAGGTACGGATTTTTCGTTAAAGGAAACGAAAGTTTTGTTTAGTATCACACGCCAAAAATNAAGTTTTGTTTGGTATCACACGCCAAAAAAGTCCTGATTCGTCTGCATTGTACACTTGTGATGGGTTAAGATTTAAATCTTTCACCTTTTGCAAAAATCTTAATTTAAATGGCTCTATGCAGGTAGCATCATTAGAAAGTTTCTCTCCTGTTATAGTCATTAAACGTATGCCATGACGACTTTTAAAACGTTCTAACCATCCCTTGCTAGCCACAAAATCATCTTTTTTTATAATTTCCTTATAAAAAAACTTAGCTTTCATGGTCAACATGGGTCCCGAAATTGGAGCATGCCTATTTCTTTCCTGAAGAAACCACATGTACACAGCTTCTTCCACTTCTGGATGTTCAGCTTTCTTGAGTGTCTGTCTCTTGCCTGGCCCACAGTCAGTAGTTGATACGAAGTTTTTAATCTTCTCATGATTTTTTTTAATATCATAAATTGTAGATCGGCCTACGCCATATTCACTTGCTAAACTACTAAAAGATTCATTACGATTTAAACGGTCTAAAATATCACATTTTTCTTTAATTGTCAGTGTTTTGTGCTTTCGCTTCTGGGCTTGTGACGACATAATTTACTAGGTACGTATACGTAATACACAATGAATAAACAGTATACAAAGAATCTATACTTTGAGCACAATTGTAACCTGTTCAATCATGCATTATCTACATTAGCGAAGATTGTAAAAAAAATACCCAATAATAATAGACATGTCGGATTACAAGGGGCGCCGGATTAACCAGGGGCCGGATTACCGGGGGTCCACTGTATATCAATTTTTAGAGTAGACTTTAAGAAAATAATTGAAAGTAAAATCATTTTTAATTTCTTGTAGTTCAATTTTTACAGCGTTTTAAATTTTATACAAATTTTAATATCTTCATGTTTATTTTAGGGTATTAAGAATTAGTCTATAATATAAACTATATATTTTAAATAAGGAAAGGATAGAAGTAAAGCATTTTTTCACATTATGTACAGTTATTGAATTTTTTTCATGAATATTGTTATTGTTTTAATGATTATTTGTAATTGAAACGAAAAATGAAAATTATTTACACGGAAAAAGTTATATAACTATAATTAAATTAGTTATCGTCAAAAGAATACATTTTTTTTTTATTTTTGAAATTTTCTTAATACATATTTTAATGTTTAATACTGTAAATAAACACATGAAAATTTAAAATTCTATGAACTTTAAAATACTGTAGAAAATTTATTACTTTTACAAATTAATTAGATATCTTATACCGATCTTTAAACTTAAAATGTACTTTAAAAAATGGCTACTTTAATTTTTAATGTAACTATATGTATATATATATATATATATATTTGTAAGTAGCCAACGAAGCGTCGTAACTTTTCTTCGCACCCTTTTTAAGCGTTGTTTGTACACACCATACGGGATATAAACGACGACATGGTAAAGAGATGCTGTAAATTAACAGGCGAGGGTTAACGCATATATATCAATGTACTCTCTATCGTTAAAACAGATGAATGGATTGAAGTTATATCCAGGTTTTTGTTTTTCTAGAAATGGCAGAGGTAACGGCAATGTTTGGAGGGTAAAGTATAAGAACAAAAATAAACGTAGTCTTCCACCTATAAAATCCCCGTCTATTGCATGGTAGGTGGCAACGGCCCGTATTGACGTCGGAAAACAATTTTCAGATGCCAAGACGGTTTTTAAAAAGCACCGGTAGAAGAGTGAAATTCAACGATAACAAATTATGTTGGTGGCCTTCCTACCCCCGCCCAGGAAACAACTGGGGCTCATCGTCGTTTCACACCGGATAAACCCGTCGGACAGATAAGAGGGAGAGGCGTTTGAATAATTCTTTATTGTAAAGACGGTAGAGATCTACACGTTATTAGAGTCAAAAGTTTTAAATCGAAATGTTCATATTATTTTGTGCTTTGATTGTAAAAAAGTTAAACGAATGCAAGGGTGTTAATTTTCTTTTATACTTTTGGAATACTTAAATGGCAAACCACGTGTTAACTGTATTCACTAAATTAAATTACTAAAATTAATTAAAAATAATAGTTTTTCAATATTTTTTTTGAGATTAATCTCTAGATGAAATAATAAATTATATTTAATATTCTTTATCTCTAAGAAAAAAGTTATTAAAGTAATTAATTTTTATAGCTCATTTTACGAATGCCATTTATGTATTTTTTCATTTTATTAAACTTTATTTTAATTAAGTATTATATTTGATTATTATTATTTTTAATCATGTTTATCGCCCTCTCTACAAGCTATATCTTTTGGCAGAGAGGACGGGATAATCTATATAGCCTAGCGTAATGAAATCTACCTTAGTACCTACTCACCGAGGCATGACGTGTTATCGTTTGGTAACTTAAACTTTTAAAAAATTTCATTTAAAAAGAATCGAATATTGAAAGAAAAATGTATTCAAATCGTCCAAACATGTATGTTTATTTTACAAAACAAAATTAATGAAAAAACTTGTCATGCAATTAAACTATTTATTACTGACTGAGCTAAGTATTTTAATTTTGCTAACCTTGAAAATAATATTGTAAATACAATGAGTCAATTTAATATCTAATTCGAAACTCGTATTCATATTTTGTAATCAACGATTTACTACATTCTTTTTACATTTAAAAACATTATAAAATCATTCATTTTTTTAAAGTAATAAATTTATATTTAATGGATAATGTTATTCTTAATAATCAATATTATATTGATAAATGAAAGAAATATAAAAGATGTAAATAGATATTCTTATACTACAGAAAATATTTAATAAACGAAATGATTTATGTTAGTTGTAATTAATTATATAGGTTTAATTTAAATGCAACTAAAATAGACGTATAATGTTTACAAAATAACTCACGTTAGGACAACGATAAGTTGAAAATTTAATGACTTAATGTTCTAACGATTATTTCAATTTCAGTAATTGATCTTATTATTAATGAATTACAAAATGATGCATTTATTTGTTTAGAGTAAGTATTCCTTTCTAAATGGATTATATGTTACAAAACTATTGAATATTTAAACGAGCAAACAAAATTATTCGTGTTTTATTTAGTATTTAATTTAAATTGAAAACACGAGAAAATTTTTTTTTTTATTTGTAAATATATTTTCATGAATTTCATAATATCTAAGTATTAAAAATCTTCTATTTTCGTTAATATTTCTGGGTTTTTTTATTTTCAGAAAAACAATTTGTAGTTATTCTATAAAAATACGAATAAATATTAAAACTATAATAGAATAAGTACCTAAAATAATGGTTATTTGACATTGCAGTTTACAACTATACCTAATACTGACAGTCATTAAACTGTAGCATAAATATTGATTGAATTTCAGTTATAGAAATACTGATTTACTATTTATAGATGATCAATTTAGAAGATCTATAGATAAGCACATACATTTTTCTAGTATTTTTCTACTGTATAGATTATATAATCTATATTTAATATAAAAGAAATTTATACATTTATAAAAAATTGATTTAAGAATAATTAATTTGCTATTAAGTTTTTGTCATGGTACAATACATTCAGTTAAAGTGTAGTGGATATAGAGGGGAATTGTATTTTTAATATTCGTCATTTTACTTGATATTTCTTCCGAATTGCTGTAAACGAGCATAAGATAGTGGAAAATAAATAAATAGAAATTGAAAACGTTGAATAATCACTAAAGTTTTATCGGTTTCCAGTTTTAGCTAATATACACCGCATTGTTGTATAGTTGGCTGAATACTGAACACACGGTTTCGTTTCTCTTTAACTTGATCTGATTTATAGCGCATAGAAGTTTCCGTTTTCCCGCCCTCTTCGGCCAAAACAAACGCGATGGGCTCATTCACCATTGTCCGCAACTGCATAAAATGTAGCTTTTTATGTCGCTCCCTGCACCAATTGGCCACTGTTGGAATTTCACTCTAATATAATGTGGCCCATTTTTAAAAGAAACGTTTTAACAACTGTATCCGGGCAGATGTCGTGTTTTATGTTGGGTTTATGTAAATTTTCATTTGCGCAAAATAAAGACAGAAATAGACAAAATAATAAGTACACTGCAGAAATCCTCAGTGACTTTCATGTGTAAATTATTTGCATTGAAAAACCTCAGCAAAATACATTTTGAACATGCTATGTGTATCCATTATTATTTTGATAATTTTATTTTTATTTCATTTAACTGTATAATAAACAAATGTTTGTATTGTTTTTTGATAAATTTTCTTCGATATTTTTCTGTTTCAGAAAAATCAAAAGCTTGGACTGACGATGTGGATCAAACAGGTAAGCGTTTTTATTTTTTTATGACTAATATTTCACAAATACTATACTTAATAAGTCTAAATACTGATTGTATTATCAAGTTTGACCAAAACTTAAATTATATATTTAATAATTTTAAATTATAAATTATATATTTTTCTAGTTGGCGTTATAATTTTAATTTATAGTTAACAACGGATAGGGACACATAAAGAAAGATAGTATTGTTTATGTTTTATCATAAAAAAACTTTCATATTATCGTCTCACTTGCACAAAACTATCATTATGATTGTTTGCCGTTATATAATGCATGTATACTGAATATATGTACGTGTGTAGTTTGATCGGAAAACTCATATCTAAGCCCGGTCGCAGTTTTCCTTCCAACACGTATTCGCGTCAAATTATTATTGTAGGGCGACTGTAACGTGTGTGTGCGCGCCCCTCGTCGTTGTTCTATTCGAGACCTGACCACGTTCCATGTACTAATGTATACCGAGTAACACTTTGTTGCGTGTCTCGATCACGCAATAAAACTCATGCTGAATTTTCTTTTGTCATAGTTTTGCTTAAGAATATTTTTCCAATATCACGTAGTTTTAAATTTGAACGAAACGTATTTTTTTTGATTTTAACAATATTAAAGTCCAGCGAGTGAGTCTTCTTCTTCTTCCTCGCCTTCATCCCAACTACTTGGGGTCGACCAGTATGTCGGTGAGTATGGTAGAAATTAGTTGCTCTTAGTAATTTTTATAATAATTGCTTTTTGCAATTGATAAAAAGAAATACATTTTGTTGATGAGTTAAATACCAAAGTATGTGAATTATGAATCATTATTATTTATATACAAAATAACATTATGTTATTCAATGAAATATTTTCCTGAAATTTTGCACAGAACACTTATTATATTAGCAAAATTTTATTGATTTACTGGCTATATTTTTAATAAGTATTATACACATAATTACTATTATATTCAGTAGATATTTTTGATGTTATGCGTGCAAATAATATTTATTGTAATTAGTTTGAAACTGCAAAAAAAAAAAACGAGCTTTTACTGTTTCATAATATCTAATTAATAATAGTAATATCTAATTACAATTTGTGTAAGCAGCATATTACTGGAGTTATTTCATCAAGTATGATTAATACTTCGAAATTAAGATCTATTATTTTGATAAAATATTTTTTTAATGTGTATAATAATTTTAGGTATAATGAAATTGAAGACCATATTTTATAAAAAAAATTATGATTCTAGATAAAACGCGATAATTATTCGTGCCTATAAAATATGGTGTGCATTGTAATTCGTAGAAGGTAATATTTGCTTAATAAAAAATAAGCACGCGATACCTAATGGTTAACGCGCAAATAGATGATCTTATTTAAATAGAAATTGATTTGAATCACGAAATTACGGTGTCTACGCAACCAACATAAGTATACATAAAATAATCCTATATAATTACAGATTCAACTATTTATGTGTGTAAAAGATTATTCTTTTAATTTACACAATTCTATGTGAAGTCAGTCTAGGTATTTTTCATAACAGTATAAAAATTGGGCATACGGTCGAATAAATGCTTGTATGCAACGAGTCAAACTAAAAGGATATATGAGACTGAGATGTTAATTAAAAAACAAAATGAAATGAGACAATTCGGTTTTAAGAGAGAGGTAATAAAATAAAGCATTAACCGCGGTAGTTAAATTCGAAACAGCTTAAGTGTTAATAGGGTTTTCTACACGGTTATAATAAATCCACACGTTTATTTCATTTGAACCGTTCCCGTACACATATTGTGTATAATAATAATATAATAGCGTGTATTTTATGACAGCTGAGAAACTATTAAAAGCACGATAATATTGCAACATGCGATCAGGAGGCGGATTGATTTTAAGAAAAAAAATTAAAAGGAACTTTTTACAATTTTCTTAGGGTATTTTAGAATCAAATATTTTGTCTATGGTAATATATATTTATATATACACATTATTTTTGAAATTACATCAAAAGCTTTTGTTGTGAGTGTGCTATGCTCATTGGGAATTTGCATTTTACTGAATTTTTACAAACGTAATTAAAAAAAACGAAGACGATATTGGAATAGATTCAATTCTTTATTGTTTTTTTTTGCTTTTGATGAAAAAGGGAAATGTCGAGGGTCGAAAACTGAGCAAATCATGCTTGTAGACAATGAACGATAATTACCTTGGGATCTGAGGTGGCCTAAAGGGTCGAATCATCAAAGGATTTGGTCCCAGAGGTTTCCAATATGCATGTTAATTTTGTGAGGGTGTCTTACTCATACACACATATAGACATTGAAACAGGGAAAGACTGTTGACTAACACCAATGTATTAAACGAAAGGAACGGGTGTGCTCGACATGTGTGTAGAGAATGAGAATGAGGTCGAGATGCGTACAATGTTTGGGTATACATGGTATGATTCAAAGACGAGAGGGTACTGCCACCATATGTGTGTGGGGTTCTTCTCGTGTAGACGCCTTTTGGGAAATTATCGTACCAAAAACTAGTGACACATTTGTGTGTGTACATTTAGAGAGAAAACGTGAAATGGGGTTACCAAAATTCAGGCTTTTTTTCATACTTATGACCAGCATCCATTCTGTTTCTTCTCAATTCGAAACAACTACTACCGTATAATATTATAGTTTTCATCCCCTGGGAAGAACGCGCGTCAAACGTTAAAACACTCGCTTACGCGGTATTTCATTTATTTATTTGTAACTGGGGTTTTTTTTTTTTTGCTACTTACAATAACGAATTATCATTACTATTGTATAATATGATGCTTGTCCACGCCAAGAACCCTCTCTAGTTGTTAGTTACACGACAATGATGGTGAATGTGACCCTCGACCGCGTTTTATTCTATGTAATCCAATCTCACAGCACATGAAACGTTATCTTGTATCACCAAATACACACGTGATATTCCCCTTATGAATTTAGTGTAACATTTTGGTGTCATCATCGATCATGTCTATTGTTAGACATAGAGGATTTAAATTTAGTAATATTTTTAACTCTCAACTTAATCAACAAATTTCAATTAGTGAAAGTGATCGATATAAAATAATATGATTTTATAGTTATCATCGTCATGTTCTTAACCTCTATCCCAACTAGATGAGATCGGCTTTACCTTACGATTTGACAGGATTTTTACGCGATCTGTTGACCTGATGAAACCTCATTATGTGGAAAGGCGTGTGTCATTGTTAAAGCTACGGAAACCTGTATGGTCTCTCATCTGAATGATGCAATTACGCCACATCAATTTCCTAATTTGATTTTATAGTAGTATGAGTAATTCTACAAATATTTTTATGCATAGTAAGGTATTTCTGAAAATATATAAATGATGTATCACATCATTCATGTTATAAAAAGTGTTCATACATGTTCACTTTATATGAAATAACAATGGTTTATTGATTATAGTTAATAACATGATATATATTCTTCTTGTAACAACTTGTTTATTTTTATATTAAAATACTTATTATATTTATCACTACGTAGTGTAAGCATTGAATGATCATGTCATTTTGTACTACGTTCTTGATCGGTAATTTTCCTGTGTCATGTAAAAAATGTAGTTGATGAAATTTTCAAACTATAATTTTGGTTCTAATGGAAATTTGAATATTTTATATATATAATAAATAATAACATAAATTATTAGCTTATATAATATATTTCTCTTTATACAATAAATACGAAATTGTTTTCCATGATATCCAATTGAGTTTAACTTAAAAAATATTCATTATAAGGCAGTATATGAAGGTGTACTTTGTATGAGTTCATTTATTATCTCGGAATCATATAATTATCGCGAACGCCCTTTTGCCTCGGTTCAATTGACCTACAACTTCAGAATAGTTATAATTCAACTCTTTAATAGCATTTGCATAAATTGAAGATCTTCTCCGGATGCAGGAAGGAAATAATCCTGCGAGGTGATAAATCTACACTAGACTCCTTAAGAATTAAGTAGCCTATTATTATGCAGTTAGTAAAATAACTCTAAACCTTCAAAACTAAAAAAATATTTTTATAAAATAATTAAGATAATTTTCTATTACTGTCAATTTCAAGAATACTATTGAAATTTGTTTCAAGATATTTTTTATAATTTTTCATACTAAAATTAATGTACTATACCTGGACAATATATCATTTACATTATTGGTTATGACATTGACTTATAAAAACTTAACAGCTTAACAGTGCACGAATTCATCTTGTTATATATTTGCCATTTAACTGTTTGCATCGGAACTTATTGATTCATTAATTATTTTTGTGTTTTAGTAATATGGCACTTTTGATGAAATTTATCTAGGATAGAATCTATAAAAGTTAAGAAATTTAAAACGTTGATTCATTTATCTAGAAGTATTTAAAGTACAATGATAGCAAGGTAATAATGACAATCAAAGTATACACTCTAAGTGCTAAATCGTGTACCCGGGGCTGTCAAGGGTACAGTAATGTCTCAAGTACTAAGCGTAGCTGCCTTGTTGATTGAACTCAAACACATGATTTTTCTACGATACTTGACAAAAGTACACCTATTAATTCACTCGATTCAAGTAATGTTAATTCGTTAAAAAAATAACATACTAGATTACCATGAAAATTAAATCATTACTGTGTAATCATGATTATGTTTGTAGTATGATCAATTCACAACATTATTTTCATTAGACGTTATTAAGTCGTGCATAACTTACAACGCTTAATTAATATTAATATTCTTATGATGTTTCTACATATGATTTAGCGTAATGCGTTTTAGTTAATTAAATTTTACTAAATCATAAAGCGATTTATTACTGGAGGTAAATTTACAAGTGTTTACGGTTGAAGGAAAAGATCAAAGTAATTTGTTCTCCGCGTTGAGCATTTGAGTTTAATAATATAATTTGTAGAATAGTATCAAAATGTTCTGACGCTAATAAATACACA